GGAAGCCGGAGAGAGACTCTTCCTCAGGAACTGCAGTCACAGCAAAAGGAAGAATGGATACAAATTGAAAGAGGGGAAATTTAGGTTAGATATTAGGAACAAATTCTTTATTGTGAAGATGATTGGACACTAGAACAGGTTGGCCATGAAATTTGTTGGATGCCCCAAATCTGGAGTTCAAGACCAGGTTAGGTAAGGCCTCGAGCAACCTGGTTAAGTGGGAGGTATCCCTGCACATGGCAGGAGGGGCAGGACTAAGTAATGCTTCAGGTCCATTACAACCCCTTAATAGTCTATGAATCTGTGTATAATTTTAACTTTGCCAGGAATTGCTTTAAAATATTTTCAGTTCTGTCTTTCAAATCACTAATCATCCATTATCTAGAATCTGAGTAACACCAGCCATACACAGAAGCACAGGCAATATACTGGCCAAACATGAACTGAACTTCTTATGTAGCATTTATGTAGCATCTGCCACTAGACAGACTCAAAGAATAAAAAAACCCAAAAGCCAAGCACAATGACCACTGCCTCCTTATTGATTATTGTAAACTAAATAAGTAGGAACATCAACAACTGGACAATTGGACACTACAGGGTAGGAACCAGGTGGCAGACACTTGACACTGATGCAAAGAAGAGAGAAACATATGAGGGCACCTCCAGGATTGCTGCTCCAAAACCAGCACCTAAACTTGTAGTGTTACACCTCATCCCATTTCTAGCATGTACATTCAGGTCATGAAACCCGGGAGTGAGAATCAGAATATACACATTTGACTTTCTCCATGTGGCAAAATGCAAGGCTGCTTGCAGAAGAAAAGCTTTTGGGTGTCGATCCCCTTTTCTTCTAAATCCACACAAAATTTGCAACGTTAACTGTCTCACAGGATGAGAACAAATTTCACTCACACAAATGTCTTAAAATTATCCAGAGACACAAGCTCCCTACTGCTAGCATACATCAAGCTCAGAACAAAATTTTATTTAAAAATACACTTTATTTACAAGACATTCAAACTTAATTTTGATAAAAATATAGCTGTACATAAAACCATAAGTCATTTCTCACTAATGGTTAATAAAACCACTGTGAGATTCAGCAATCATGGAAATTACATTTTGGCACATTAAATTACTTGAGGAACAGAAAAACTGGAGGAAACTTTTAAGCAACACAGCTCCATAAATGTAACAACCTTATACAGTGGCATCCTCGCATCAAGGTATCACTGTTCAAATAAAGTATTTAATTTAGAAAGTGCTTCCACTGTACAGCAGAGTAAGTAGTAGAACTTATAAGAATGTTCATGGCTTCTGAATTATCTTTTACCAAGCTTTCCCTCAAGATGTTAATGAATAACCAATGAACCCTCTTGATTTCATATCTTCCCAGGCTTAGAAATCCACCTTTCTTAAGAAGTTGATTCAGAGTTGATAAAGAGTTTAATTATACATAAACACATGTGGTCATATCTCAGGATGACTACTTAGATTACACTTCTACACAGACCACAGGACACAAAATAGTCCTCAGAGTATCTCACATCAAGCCATCCACAGAAAGCGGGTAGTGAACTTCTCTTTGGGAAAAGTTCAGGTGCTGGCATGTTCCCTTCAAAGTTCAGAATAAAAGGGAATATTCAGGACAGTAAACATTATAATCAGGAATGGGAGAGGGAAAGAATAGAAAAAAAAAAAGAAGGTCAAAAACTGGTTTGCAGTGGTAAGGTGTGTCACATAGCAAAACCAGAAAGAATGGATTGCAAAAATATTTTAGAAGAATGGAGTGCAAAAATTAAACCAGTGCATAAAAAGGTATTTCTAAACTGTATTATTGGTAGATCACCATACCAGGCTATCAAAACCATCCTGCTTTTATGGAAGAGACAACAAGAAAAAACTTAAGGAGGAAAAAAAACACACTTGCACTATAAGTCAAGGTAAGTATTGAAAAGAAGACAAGGAAAAGGAAATCAACTGAAAACTATCAAAACAAAGGCAATACTCCTGAAAATAGTAGTAGTCTTCTTTATAATGAAGGATAAATGCAACACCTGCATTTAGAGGGCTTCAGAAGAAGAAAAAAAATTAAAAATCAAATTGGCACTTTTGACACATATGAAAAGGTGACAAAGAATCAATTCCCTTCAAAAGAAGGCACACGACTGATAAAGGCCAGTAAATTGCTTTTGTTTTCAGTGTCATGTTAACTTATTCCAGGTTTCACTTTTACTGCAGAATGACCTGGCAAGCCTAGCAAAGGTTTTGTCATCATCCTACTAGGTCACATGCACGAATGGCTAGAGATCACATCCACAGGAGCTGGACAACCAGTTGAAAGTCATACATAATTGAAGCAGATTTCCTTTGCCACCAGCAGTAATGGACAGAAAGGACAATCATTGCCAGAGAACCCAAAAACCAAGAGAGACAATAATAAGGCAGTGCTTGAAGAGGACAGAGCAGCACAATCAACCAGCTAAAGAGGCCAGAACAGAGCTTTTATGACAGTGCAATAGACTACAAAACTGAATTTAGAACAAGTGCCCATAGAAAAGGGCTAACATGGAAATATCCTGCATCTCAAAATGAGGGAAGCCTGCTTCAACAGAATTAGAAGAGACAGGCCAAGAACTGAAGGGGAATAGGCCAATACAAAATACACACAGATTGGAATGAAGTCTCATACAGAAGTAGAGAAGGGACACAGTTCAGGAGAAAAATATTTTGTTACTCAAAGGAAGGCAAAGATGCTGGTCAGAAACCTTAGTTGAATGCCCTGAAAGTCCCAACACAAAAAAGAAAAAAAAAAAAAAAAAAAAAAAAAGCAAGGTTTATTTCATAAATTTACCTAGATGTGAAGATTTATATAATCCCTGGTATTTTCCCATTTATTCACAGGCAATGGTTACAGTACATTCAACCAGACAAGAGAAAATAAAGTTTAAGAATGTTATTTCATTGTATTTTCAGGTTACAACACTTTAAAAAGTTTTTAAAAATACATAGACACTGTTTTAATGCACTGGAAGAATAAAAATTGTCCATTTTGACAAATGCCCCAACATCACATATAATAGTTTTATTTAATCCCAGAGTAAATACTGCCATTCCAGCTTTCAACCATTTAATAAAATATGTATATATATAAAAATCAAACAACCTGATATAAGACACAAATAATTATGAAAGGGTACTTGTTTTAGAGGATACCTGGGAAGAAAGTTCTTTGTTGTTATTTTAGGAGGTTTCTATTCCAGTTCTCAAAAACACGATAAATACATTTATTATTCACATCCAAGCATCATCGTAGATGAAAATAAAGAGGGTAAAAAAAAAAAACCAGAAGAAAGGGCTGTCTTACTTTATGGCACATGCTTTTAAAAGACACAGCAATCCTTACAATGTTTTCTGATTTGCATTAACTCGTGCAGTAACTGCCAAGATCCTGGTTCTGCCAACAGAGTCAAAGAGGCTGGAGGATCAAGCTCTTAATCATATTAACAAATAGGTTCATTTATATGATACAAACTTACAATGAAATGGTATAAAATATCTTAATTCATTCAAAAATCTGTTTTAAAGGGGCAATTATAGTTCTAGAAATGTTCTATTTAGACTGAAATCACTGCTTCAGTAAATACTACATTCCAAGCAGTAAAATACCCTGCTGTGTGTTTCAATATTCATTGAATTATTGCAATCATCTTTATTAATAAGGAGTTGGCTGCTTTTAAGCCACCCTTAAAGGAGGTCCTGGTATTTTCCCAGCCAAGGTTGGAAATCAGTTTGCCCTTTCTGTTAAGATGTCACTGAGATAAAGACACCACTATTTTACAAAGGTGTCCCTATGAAAAAAATGGACAAAATAGCCTGTCCAGGCCACACAGAAGGCTGCTTTTGTTTGCAAAATATGTTTGGAATCTTCTGTATTTGATCTGCATAGCCAGGGAGACCAAGCACTAGACTCAGTGTGGATTGAGTAGTGGGTTTCCCCCCCCAGAAACCTGTGGAACACACTTGACTGAAATCCAGCACTGGTGGCAGGGCTCATCACCTTGTTTTCCTTAGAGCACCCTTGCATACCTTCAGAAAGAGCAAGCAGCAAAAAGGTAGTGAACTGCTTCACTAAATACACTTTGAAATACACTTTTGTGCAGGGGGAGGAGGGCCAAGGCAGAGGGTAGGGTTCAAGGCATCAAGACCTTTAAAACCAGCCAACAAGAAATTATTGAGACTAAATCAGGAAAAATTTCCTGGTTTAATTTTTTTCAAGCTCCCTCTAAGTGATAATACTGCATACAAGACTTTAAAGGTGCTTCCTTAATTAATACAATATTAAATTATACCTTAATAATAGAATTGCAGAATTTCAACTGTTTATAATAAACATATTAGCTTATTTATTCAGCATGAATAATGACAGACTCAGTGTTAAAAATAATGCAATTATCCTGCACAATGATGAAACAAGACCATGGCTCTTGGAACTTGTGTTGTCAGGAGAAGGCTAATAAGAATTTTAAAAGACTGAGTTGTACAATCACAAGAGTGAAAAAGATAAAAGTTAATTGGATGACTGCCTGCATTTCCATTTGCTAGAATCAGTACAGACAACATTAGTAGGTACTTATTTACTGTCATGACAAGCAGTCTATTCCTTAGCATGCTCATCTGTGATTAGGCTGGGACTCCAGTATTACTTGTAGAGAAGCAAGACCAGCTTCTGCTCTGTCCCTAAATACAGGAGTCAATCAAGAAAATAACACAAGTCAAAATTCCTGAGTGCTTCCTCTTAGACACTCTTAATTTCATTCACAAACTCCACTGGCCAGAACTGTTACTGTTAAAAATGAACTGCCCATGCAGAAATGGGTTCTAAGGATCAGTAAAGCATCTCTACTGAAGTCCTTTATAAATATACAGTACTTCAGCCCAGTTCAATCATTAACTGGCCACAGGGCTTTCAAGAAACAGCTCACTCCAGCAGGTTCTTTTCCCAGTGCTACTGGCCATGAACTGCAAACATCAGTGCAGACAGAGAGCGACATACCCCACCCACTCTAACAGTAGGAATTCAGCCTTAGTTTGGTAAAGAACTGGGTACGGCTGCATCACAAAAATCACACAAATGCAACAGCCTTGGTGGAAATCTTAATCCTTATTTCAGGTACAAGGGGGTCTTAGGCGTATTTTGGTTTACAGCTAAAGCACAGAAATCTTTTTGCCACACCAACTTCAGCTACAACCACCAATGCCCCCCTTCCCAGCCAGGATATGTTTGCTCCATGAGAAAACACGACACAAAGCAGAGCGAGTTGCCTAAAATCGTGTACTACCAGACTGTGATTTGCCATCAGACACGTCACAATTTTTCACATTTTTCACGCTCTCCTCTGTCACTGGGTCCTCCATGAGGATTTCAACGTCACTTTTCCTCGAACCATTGTCTGTGTGCTGTGCAGAAAGGGAGCTTTCACTTTTCTCCACGTAGCCATTCGTTTCAGGCCGGGGGGGCTCCCTCTGGCTGCAGCACAGATGAGAGTCACAGGCTTTTGAGATGCAGGCTGAGCTGCACAGCAGATGTGAGGTCTTGTGGTCAGCATACTCGGGCTGGATGGTCACAGAATGGATTCCTGCCTCGTGGAAAACCTTCCGTATTTGGTAAGCAGCACCTTGGTAATCAGAAGGGGTTTGGCACTTGATATGAAGAGTGGCGATGTTCCTCCCACTTGCAAGCTCCCAGACGTGCACCTCATGGAGGCTGCTCACCCCTGGTACACGAGCTAGTCTGCCAGCTGGAAGACATAAGGGAAAGGTATTGAGGGCTTTGGTGCACTGGCTAATTGTCAGCTGCCTCACTAGGCACCCTATCCAAAAGCAGCAGTGTCAAAACCATCATTTTAGAGGAGATATACTTGGTATAATGTGTCTACACCCAGCTGCCTTCAGCTCAGCCTCCAGGTGATGAACATGTCATGCTTCCTTTTGGAGTCACCTGTCCCTCAGGCTCCCTAATGGCAATTGACCAGCTGTTCACAGAGGAAATATTACAGCATCACTTCCTCCATCAAGACCCCACATCTTCTGGTTTCTTTAAGCCCTGAGCATGAGGGAATTCCAGAAATACCCAGTGTTACTCCACAATTAACCAGTGTGAACAGCACCTAAGAGCTATAAAGTTAGCCAACCCTAATGGAAATTTCTAAGATGTTTTGGAAGCTTTTCGGAAGCAGCCACTGCAGGGTTGGAAAAGATTGTAACTCAAAGTTGTTTCTTTCACAAATAACCCACACAAAGCATTAACAGCTCAAGACCTGGTATGTTTGATGTATTGTTGGAGTACCACATTCTCAAAATGCATGCTTTAACTAATCCACAGAGATTTGAGTCACGTTGCTAGGACACAGACATGTGACTGTTTCTCAGAGTTCTGGAGAATTTAGAGCTATTATAAATAAATAATCCAAACATGTAATTCCACAAATAGCATATGCATTGAAATACACCATTAAAATTAACAGCATTTCAACAACAAATTTGACTTACTCAGTAGTTGCATATCAACACCTTTGGGGACCATCTGCAACAAAATAGTTGAGGTCTCCTTTATAAGTGGGAATGCCGAAGACAAGATGATGAACACCATAACTACTGTCAGACTTGGATCAATGTAGCACTGCCAATTACACGGAGCATCCCCCAGAGGACGTACATAGAAGATTGTAGCAGTAACTACCACGACCACAGATCCAAGTGCATCTCCCATAACATGCAAAAGAACACCTGAAACAAATGGCACAATTTCCATTAGTGGGGTGGGTTTGGGGTTTTTGCTTTGTTTTGTTGTTTTGTTTTGGTTTTCTTTTTTTTTCCTAGGGGGAGGTGTAATGCAGTGTTTTTCAAGTATGTTTCACTTGATGGGAAGAATGCAATATTCCAGCCATTAATATAATAACCAAAGTTTTCAGTAACAGTTTTTGGAAAAAACAGCAAGAGAAATACCAATTCTGAAGCACTGCTGTTTGAGTGGGATGCATTATTAAGCATGTAGGGTGTGCTAGTGACTGCTGTCCAACTGCAATGCCATGGTAACACAAAATGCGCTTGCTTAAATGCATGGAGATTATTAATCCTGCCAGATCCTGGCACGTTAAATCTAAATTAAAAACTGATGACTAAATCTATCCATTCTGCACTGGAAGTTGAGAGCTGCAGACCACCCCCAGTAACAGTTACCTTCCCCCACCAGTTTCTGTGACACTGCTGAAATCTGAAAAATTGCCTAAGTGAAATCTAAGCTGGCACCAAATACCCTCAGACTCCAATTTTTAGATCAAACCTAGATTACCAGTCATATTAAACCTTGTTCCATCAATACTACTAGCCTTCAGACCTGCCAACAATCAGAACCTGGTTCTAGAGTCAGTCACATGGTTTAGTGCCTGGACTACTCTGAGAGGAATGCTGGGTACCTCTTTTTATATCTTATAGAGATGGTCTTGTACAAAAGGTAAAGACATAAAACAGGCTCTTACAGTAACATATTTAGCTGCTCTTTAAACTACAAAGACCAAAGCAGTCTTTCTGCTAGAGAGTTGCAATAATCCAAGAAGTGCCTTTTTCTTCTATTTTTTTACTACTTTACATAAACCTCCCTCTTCCCATCAGTGCTCAAACATATTCAGATTTGTTAGATTTCACTGTTCAGACTCAGATTTTATTCCAGCCCATGCCTGAATTGAGAACATCTCTCTCTATATGAAGTGAATTTCTTTGTCAATACTTTTTGTTTGGGGGCTGTGAGAGAAGAAGATGAACCATTTCTTTTTAACAGCCCTATCACATACACTTTCAAGTGAGAAGCTGTAAAAAGCTCCCCCAAAACTCACTAACAACACAGCAAAGAGTTTTGATGGTACTGGATTAGCCCTAGAATTCTGCCCATGCTGGTATTTCTTACCAGCTCTGTACACACACCTTGATCTGTGCGAGAAACAAAGGCCACAGCCTCTGGAGTTCCTCCAAATCACTTGGGCCAGATAAGAAAGTACAAGCTCCTGGTGAGTCCAGCTCTTTCTGCTGGAGTCAGGCATGTTCTGCCCCATTTGGCAGACTACCACGAGGTTTTACTCCTCCTAACAGTGTTGCAGTGTTTCCTTTTCATTTACAAATAGTCCTGATTCAGCATGGGCTATCAGCTGTCGCACTAACAAGAGGGACAGGCAGGATGCAGTTGCATTGCCCAGGCGACTAACAACAGAGCACAGCTTATAAAGAACAGGAAAATGTTTCAGAAAGCCTTCATTAGAGTTAAGAAGAAAAAAACTATGTCAGAATTTTGATGAATTGGTAACAGAGTACAGAATTTGGAAAAATGTTTATTTTACATTCTTAACGTCATTAATTCATCCACCCTGGCAATGCATCACAGAATTAGGGCTCAGACAGAAATGTGCCCGCTTCCCTATCAAATCCCAAAAGCTATGATTATAAACTGGAATAAAAAATTAATTTTTACTAAATGAAGTCAGTATGGTAAGGCCATATGTAGCAGTTTCCAACAGCTTGCATTCCAAAGTCTAACTGAACTACTCTGCATATGCTCAAGTAGTAAAAAGAATAATTTCACTCTACAGTAATTAATCCTGCCAGGCAGAATCAATGGATTCCTGTTCCTACCAGTTATAAAATTAAGGAATCCATTACTCTGCCAATCCATTTTATCCAGACATGTTTTTTCAGGGAGACTCCTATTCTAAAACAAAAGAATTTTTTGCCAAGTGACTATGAAGTAACTACAGCTTGTAACTAACTTAAAAGGAAAAGTATGGATTGATACAGAATTTCAAAGACACATATCTTTATAAATATTCCTTGCTTCTGTAGTCATAAAGAAAATAAAATAGATTTTGCAAAGGTGACATACTAAAGTAACACTGAAAAAATTTATTTTTAAAAATCAAAGATGACACAGATCTTTAAATAACTTAAATTCCTTATCCTTCAGACATGTTTTGTAAGCTTCCAGCATCTTTATACCTAAGCTCTGTGGTTCAGGCAAGCAAGGCCTTCTCTAAAGTAATTGATTCCTTACTCTTCTCCCCTCCATCCCTGAATGTGACAGTTTGCTACCACTATAATGCCATAATATCCAGTGACACCAACTTCTAGACCTTGAAGCAAGTGTTGTGGCTCTAGAACATGGTTTGATTCTCCAAAGCATCTTCCCTTATAGATGCATTTGTGTAGTTCTGCAAACACTTTTGAAAGACAGACACATACACATGAAAAAAAAACCCAGTAAACCCAAGTGCTTGACTGCACATTGACCTCTCAAGCTGAATTCATGCAAAGCAAACTCAAGCAGCCTTGGAATATCAGCTGCTGATCAGTGACCATAAGTGACCTGAAACTTCTGTTGTGATTGAGGTTTCTGACAGTCCTTTCCTTGGGCACAAACTCAATATTTCGTATTCTTAAAGACATTTGCTTTTGGCTCTGCTCAGAGTAGGTACATAAACGTGTATGCAGAGAAACACCTACACAGACAGGGAGAGACATGTGGGTAATTTATTCCTAGGAGTAGCTTTATGTTTCACTCCACAGATTCCCAGAGAGCTTCCAAATTACAATGCAGGAAAGGCTGATCCTGTCACACACTCTCACAGGAATTGGTTCACATCTGGAAAAACACCATGCTGAAGCACCAGTTTTAGAACCCTTTTCCTTATGCTGACAACAAAACATTATCAACCATAGGACTTAGAAGGATCTATGTTTTCTGCCCAAAAGCATTTTAAGGTTGAAAACCGCTCAACTACTACTACATCAGTGACAGTCAAAGATGCACCTCATAGCTACTTGTGTTACCTTCCTGTAAAGCCTCTAATGACTTGAGCTCAGTGCAGCAGGGTTTGTGTCCTTTCCACGTGTCCAGCTGCACATTTTTAAGAATAAAAATCAAAACGTGAGCACGCTCAAAGCCAAATCAGCATGACACTATTTGTTACTACTTATGCTATTCCATATAATAAAAATCTTTCTGCTAGAGATAACTGGATCCAATTACATGGATGAGTCCTGGACTTCTCCCTTTCTTACTGATATTTTGGGTGTGTATGTAAATCTGAAATGGAAACCACAAAGTGTTTGAAGTTAATTTAACATTAGCAGTATACTTCTATGCCATACCTCTGATGTTCAAAGCTTCAGACTTTTTCTCTTTTTTCTGCTCAAACCCCTCTTCAGGGCTCTTTTGGTCATTTGGTGAATCACCTGCATTCAAAGAAGAAACGCTGTGTTGTGTATAAGTTCTACAAACAGAAAAAACATCAACCTTCTCAAAACCAACTTACTTTAAACATGACAAGAAGAAAAACAAAAACGATTCAAAACATTTCCCACGCAGCTCCCTCGGCAACACCTCCTACCCCCATCCCGGGGGCACGCCCAGCAGCCCAGGGTAAAGTACAAGGTGAAAGAGGCTCCGGCTGCCGGAGTGAACTCGGCGAATCCCCCGGGGCCCACGAGTGGCCCTGGGGCTCTGAAAGGACCCAGAGGATTGGGCCAACAGCTCGGGTCCCGAGGGAAGGGATGGGGAAAGGTGCGGGAGGGTCAGAGAGATGCTGGAGGGAGGGGTGGGGAGAGATGCGGGAAGGCGAAGTGCAGCCGAAAGGCACCTGCTACATCTTCCTCGCCGTTCGGGATGCCACCGGGCACGTCCCGCAGCGCGGCGGCCGCGGGCGGAGGCGGGGACGGGCATCGCCTACGGCAGCAGGCGCCCCAGTCCTGGAAGACGAGGAGCCCCACGACGTTGACGGCGAGGCCGAGGGTGCCGACGATGAGCACCAGCTGGGCGTCGTCGATGGGCTCGGGCCGGGCGAGGCGGAGGACGGAGTCCACGAGGATGGTGAAGCAGAGGGCGGTGAGGAAGACGGCGTTGCTGAGCGCTCCCACCGCCTCGGCGCGGCTGTAGCCGTAGGTGGCGCGGGGACCGCGGCGGCTGCGGCGGGCGATGCGGCCGGTGGAGAGCCCCACGCAGAGGGAGATGAGGTCCGAGAGCATGTTGAAGGAGTCGGACACCAGCGCGATGGAGTTGCCCAGGTATCCGGACACCAGCTCGGCCACGAAGAAGCCGACGGTGAGCACCAGCATGAAGATGAGGCGGCACGTCTTGCCCGAGTACCGCCCCATGGCGGCCGGCCGGTAACGCTCCGCGCCGCCGCTCGCCGCAATAAGTGCGGCCGGCCCGGCCCGGCCCGCACCGCCCCGCCCGGGACACCGCCCCGCCCCGCCCCGGGCACACCAAATCCACCAAACCTGCGGTAAGGAGAAGCTGGACGGGCCGAGGGGAGGCGCGGAGCCGGGGGAAGCGCCCTCACGGGCAGGCACATCTACCCACGGCTGTGCTGCCTGCGCTCCTGCACGCCGAGCTGGAGCTTCGTTCCACAGAAGGATCCAATAATTACGGAGCTTTGGTGCTTTACTGGCGACGAAAGTGCCAAACCGAAGGACAGAGTGCCATCTACTGAGCCAGCTCATTTCCAGACACCAGCCTTTAAAAAGGTGTGTCAGAAAGCCAAGGGGATCCTGGGCTGCATCCACTCCAGACTTGGTGACTCCAACATAGGAAGAACACGGAGCTGTTGGACCAAGTCCAGAGGAAGCCACAAATTTGATAAGGACTGGGTCACCTCACTAGTGAAGACAGGCTGAGGATGTTGGGGCTGTTCATCGTGGAGAGACTTCATAGCAGCCTTCCAGTATCTGAAGCAGGGCTACAGGGGAGCCAGAGAGGAACTCTTCATCAGGAATGGTAGTTACAGAACAAGGAGTAATGGTTACAAACCGAAAGAGGCAAATTTAGGGTGGTAAGGTACTGGCACAGTTTGCCCAAGGAGGTTGTGGATGCCTCATCCCTGTCGGTGTTCAAGGCCAGGTGGGATGGAGCTCTGGGCAACCTGGTCTAGTGAGAGGTGTCCCTGCCATGGCAGGGAGTTGGAACTTGATCTTTACAGTCCTTTCCAACCCTTAACATTTTATGGTTCTATGAAAATAGTACTTAGTGTCCATAACTCTATCATTACCCTATAAGAAAAATAATTGCATGCACTTTTTAACCTACAGGATAGTCTACAAGAACCATGAAAAGGTAGTAAACCTCTATCTTTTACTTGCAGATGTTTTGTTGCTGCTGTTTTTATGAGAGTTCTTGCAAAAGTGACAGCCCCACTCACAAATGGAAAAATTACAGAGCTGGACTACAAATATATCATTTCAAATTGAAGAGCTAACAGAAATCAAGTCATCCTCTGCTGTGGCGTTCTCAGTATCAGAACTGGGCCCAAAAATAATAAATAAAATATGTAAGAACTGGAGAAAATTATGTTCTTAAAATGTTATCCTGTAAGAGTTTGGAGCCTTTCAGCTATGCCAGAGGCAAACCAGTGCTGAGGTACCATTTCAGCAGCTACAATTCACAGTGAAGTGCCACATCACACATTTACCATACTTGACAAAGCACCCATTGCTGTCAGATTTTGAACCAGTAAGGCCAGGGAACACAGGGTACACTTGTCCCACCTACCTAAGGCAGTTTTCTATACAACCAGAAATTCCTTAAGGACCTCAGGAATTTCCTCTTTGTTCTAACTCTGAAGCAATTGCATTGTTACTGCTGGTGATTGGGTCGATCCCTTGCTTGAATACATCTTCTACATGAGGCTTCTCCATTTCACCTAATTCTGTGCACAGAACCCAGAATGTGTATTAACCTCTGGAGTGGACTTGAGCAGCCTTTCAGGGGGTGGTCTCCCCTCCAAGGAATTAACACACAACTCCCAATTAAGCAGAGATTCACACACTCGATATCCTGTAATATGCAAATTAACAAATGCATGAAAATAAATGTATTGAAATGAACCTTACCATAAAAATAAACGGAGTTGTGGGAGAGGATAAAATCACTTACATCAACTCACATTTCAGCTCTAGAACTGCAGCTACTGACATAGGATAAGAGATGCTTAATGGTTGCTCCAAATCAAAAGCACATAGGTAGAGCAATAAGAAGAAAAATATGAGTTATAGGAAGTGAAAAAGTCAGATATAAATTTTTAAATGACAGGATAGATCTTCTTTACTATAATTAATGATAGAAAATTCTGCCTCTGGCACTTCACTTCCAATCAAAAAAAAAAAAAAAAAAAAGACAGCTCTCTGAAGCCCAGCTAATTGCACCTTCATAGAACTGAAACATAGACTTTTAGTTTAGGAAGACATAATACAATAGCTGAAACATCATTAATCCTCTTGTGAAAAGTATATATCAGTCCTCTTTATAAAAAAAAAGGAAGCTTCATAGCCCTGAACTCACTTCAAAGCATAAAAATATCACAGTTCTTTTGAATAAATAGTTTTTAAAATATTGTTTGCAGCAAACGAGGCTGTGACTAAGTCCTCTGACAGGGAGCACAATTACAGCTGACTCTCTGAAGGTGTCAGAAAGTGTATGTGTTCAGAGCCTCAGCTCTGACACTGAATCTGCTGATCCACTGATTATTCCTTCTGTCAAGCTCACACATCTCCATCTGCTTGTCACAAAACAGCCACACACTAACACAGGAACTGAGCAGTGTTGCTGGGTCAGACCACAGATCCATGCCTGGACTGTTTCCAGTTCTCAGCTACACATTTGGGAGACGAGGGAACCAAACCTGCAGTCTTCAAAATGCAGGGCAGACACAGAGGAATTGGACACAGATACAGAAGAACAGCAAAAGTCCTGACTGTCTCCTTTAGTCCTTTCCCTGTATGGTCTCACATATGATTCACTTTTCTGTTCTGAACATTTAGCACACATTTTTATGAAACTGATCAATCACTCTGTTTCTCATCTTTAATAGCAGTTTAAGCCCAGCTGGCAACTCAGTGCCATACAGCAACTTGCTCAATCTCCCCCACCCACAGTGGGATGGGGAGAAGAACTAGAAAAAAAGGTTAAAAAACCTTGTGGTTTGAAATAAGAGCAATTTAATAATTGAAGCAAAGTAAAAACAAACAAACAAACCCACAGAAACAAAACAAACCAATAATAAATCAAGGAAACAAATGATGCACAGTCACTCACCACCCTCTGATTGATGCCTAGCTCATCCCCCAGCAGCAATCAGTGACTCCTGGCCAATTCCTCTCAGCTTATGTTCTGGAAATTACTCTGTGGTATGGAAGTTCAGGTCCTGCCTATCCTGGCTGTGCTCCCTCCCAGCTTCTTGTGCAGCTCTTCACTTGCAGAGCATGGAAAACCAAAAACTCTTTGACTTGGAGTAAGCACTACTCATCACCAACTAAAACATCAGAATGCTATCAACATTTTTCTCATGCTGAATCCAAAATGCAGTACTGTACCAGTTTCTGTGAAGAAAATGAACTATCCCAGCCAAAACCAGGACAACTTCTGACCAGCTCTGCATACATGCAAGCACCTTCATCTTTGCACTGTGGCTGCTTAGAAGGCTCTTGGATATCCAAGCTGTTACTCTTCTCATTATGCATCCAAACTTCCCATCCCCTCTTTATCCAGGTGCCACAATCACTTAAAGACAAACAGCTCTTAAAACTGCCAGGTGAGCAAAGTTACCTCAATCATTCTCATTCAAGAAGTTGTTCCTTTCAATAAGAAGAATAATTCATTCAGGTGAATCTTCAGAATAAAGTATGTGTTATCCCTGTAGCTCTTTTCTGCTTTGATCTCCTTCCACACAGTCCAAAAGAAGGCCATGATCCTGAACATCTGAGTCACTGACCCCACTACCGGTGTTTTCATTCAGGCTCTTCCCGCCCTTCTGGCGCTTTCATTCTGCCTGCACAAATTCACCTGCAGTATCAGAACATTTGGTCTCAAAACCTTGCAGAAAGGAACCATGTGTAAGATTGCTCTGCAGTGTGCTTGGCATCCGTGTGTGTTTTACACTGGCTGTAGACATTCAACAGTAGAATGTTATGATTTCACTTATTCATCCAATCCTGAGATGGCCTGAACAAGCTACATACTATTAAACAAAGAAGCAGCCTAAATATCCCAGGCTCTCTATTTACGACTATGCTGAGTTGGAACAAGTTCTTAGGAGATGCAGAAAATGTTGTCCAGCACTTTAGTTTTCTGAATTATTTGCCAACTTTCATTTCAGCTACCATGCTGCTAGAAAAGCTGCAGTTTCCTCTCCTAATCAGGAACAGAAATTAGAAAAATTCTTCAGAATTCCTAAAATTATTACAAATAAGAAAACTTCCCTTCTGAACTCATAAGATGTAATGCACTCCTGTAAGCTTCAAGATCTCTGTGTACCAAACTTTCAAAGTACTCAACATACCAATTTTTAACACTCAGCCATTGGCAGCCAAGAGTCTCTCCCCACCTGTGGCCATAAGGGGATGCTTAAGTAACAGTAAAACAGGGTGAGTATATATTAAACTTTCCCTTAATAGCCTTATTCTTCAAGTATTTTCAAGTTAAGTGAGTTTCTGAGCTAGATCTCTGTATCTAGTAGTCCTCAATGGGTTTTTCTTTCATGTCCTAGTCCAGGTTCTCACTAAGAAATGCAGGCTTGGACATGAGTTGGAAACAAGAACCATAGTATAGCTTAGTTTGGAACCTCCCTGCCACAGGAGACACATGGGCAGGTTGCTCAAAGCCCCATCCAACCTGGCCAGGATCACCTCCAAGGATGGGGCATCCACAGCTCCTCTAAGAGGAGCTCTGCTCCCTGTATCTGTGTATGTCCTATTCCTCTGTATCTGCCCTGCATTTTGAAGACTGTGCAGGTTTGTTTCCCTCATCTCCCAAATGTGTAGATGGGAACTGGAATGTACTCCAGTGCCTCACCACGCACAGAGTACAGAATTTCTTCCTCATATCTAATCCAAACCTCCCCTCTGCCAGTTTAAAGCCATTCCCCCTTCTCCTGTCACTACCTGCCCTTGTAGAAAGTCCCTCTCTTGCTCTCTTGTGGGCTTCTTTGGATAATGGAAGGTGCCTTAAGGTCTCCCCAGAGCCTTCCCTTTTCCAGGCTGAACAGACTCAACTCTCTCAGCCTATTGCCTCTTTCTCCTTGTTTGGAATCTGAATCCTGCTAGTTCCACTTAACATGTTCTTGTTTCAGAAGACAGGACAAACATTCAAGGGCTACTGACCTTCTCTATGCCATACTTTGCTCTGCAGATTTGTGCCACATCCTCCTTAAGTTATTAATTTTCAAGGTGGAAGGTAAAAATCAACCAAATTCCTTCCAGAGAAACCATCACCAGCCTTTGAAAGTAGGGTATCTCTGTAATTATGAAATATGACAACAATAACAGAGAATGATGGCAATTTTCTTCTATTGCTGAATGAAAATAAGGTCACTCATAGTCTCATGCTTCTGTAGAATTTGGATAGCAAAAAGAATCATGAAAATAAGGAACCATTAGCATTACCATTAAGCGATATCTCTCTTCATTCTGCTTATCAAAATCCTGTCAGATTTTATTTTTTAACCCATCATAAAAATTATTTACAACACACATTTCAGGAATGACCTGGAGGAAGCTAAAGAATGGAAGAAGTCAACGCCCACACACTGCTGTACATAATGAAGGAGTTACTAAGCTCTAAGGCTGTAGGGAGGAAATATTACATTTGTACTTAAAAGCTGAGGCTGATATTGGGCACATGACATTTAAAGGCAGCATCCCTAGCCTGAAATGCAATAGGTGGCTGTGAGGGGGCCTTTGAGGTTCTTTCCAAGAGAATCTGGTGACAGCCTTGACTGTGAATCTTGTTTCTCTAAACTGGGAATCATGGACCAAATGATAGCAAATCTAAATGGAAACCATGTGTTTGGCTTCTGCCACAGATAAATTCAGCCACAAAAAGAACAAAATAAGCACCAGCCAACAGACCTACTTGTGGAAGGTGGTTTGTTCCTCATTCCTTGCTCATTTTATTTGTGTCTCCCTCTCACACCTAGAAGAAGAAGATGGGGTTTCTTGGGATAGGCTGAAAGGTGGAATGGCTGGGAAATCTTTAGGTCTGCTTCAACCCAGGGAGCAGAAACCTAGACTAGCAAGACTTCAGTCTGGGGGAAAGCTTTATCAATGTCCCTGGCAGAGCACAGAGGTGAATGTTGCTGGATTTTTAATCGCAGCTTTTACTCTTCATGACAGTCCTGAAACTGTCCTGGGGAGAAGTTCTGTACTGGAGTTTGGCCTGGGAATATATTTTTCATGCTCTCCTAAATTTCACTTGAATATATTGGTGGGTCAATCTGAAATTATGAGCCTGTGAGATTATTTGATTCCTAGGCTGCAATGTTTAATTTTTGTTATATTTTTCCCTATTTTAAGATGGTTGTTCAGTTTTTCAGTTACAAATCACCATTCTCTGCACTTAATACCCAGCATAAAAAACATTTTGCATACTTCAGTCAGTGTCTTCTCTATCATCTGGATAAAGCTTCCTGAAATATTTCACATACTTCACTTTTTAAAAAAAGTATAGTTCTGTTATGTTTATCATATAAATGTACTTTTGTTTATATTTATATTTACATATGACCTTTTCCAGGCAGCACAGCTCATTGCAAAGAATATGACGATGAGAAAGCCACTCACTGATTTCATCACTAAATTGCATTGAGTCCTACTGCAAAAGCTTCATTTTCTATATCAGCAGCATTTCTAGACTGAAACTGATAACAAACTTATGCCTGTGTCAAACTGTCTGCAGAACAGCCAAATAAAGCAATTGCAGTTAACGTATAAAACATATCAGCCTTAAAAAAATCCCATTGTATTGAAACTGTTTATGACTTTGAACTCAGTCATCTTAGAGTCCTTTTATTTCCTTACAGCTCACCCCAGATACTGTGAGGTAACTCAGAGTCTGTCCATGCCCTTACTAAGGAATTGGCTCAAGGTTGAGAGC